TCAAACCTCCCGTCACTTCTCGATCTACCGTCTGATTCCAGNAGTCATGCCGAACTCCTGAATAATTGTGCTGAACTTACCAAACCAAGCTCGAGGGGACTGTTTCAAACCATATAGTGACCTGCGCAATCTGCACACACAACCATTAAACTTCCCCTGAGCAACAAAACCAGGTGGTTGCTCCATATAAACTTCTTCCTCAAGATCACCGCGGAAAAAAGCATTTNCCTCCCCTCCCCTCAGAGACTGATTTCCCCTTCCCTCCCTTCTATTTGACCTTTCCTTTTCTTCCGCCAATATCACAGGCATAAAGATATGGCAAAATTCAGGGCTCAACCAAACCCTGTAACTCAAGTAGCCATCTTCCAAAAGCACTTTAAAGCTGGTTTGACCAACTTTTAAGCCAATCCAAACACCCTCTATGTCCAACAAGGCTTAGACGGATGGAAAGAAATCACCTAACATTTTTTTCACCTCTACTATGATTTGAACCTTAGTCTCATGGTCTACTCCACCTTCATTAACGGATTGACCATTAACCACATCCTTGGGTAGATAGTATGACTTATTTACGCATTTATTTGTTCAAAGTTACAGTCTTTTCAAGGTTTATTTGAAGCGTTTCAAACCAGCTTTTAAGCCAATCCAAACACGCTTTATGTCCAACAAGGCTTAAGATGGATGGAAAGAAATCACCTATCATATTTTTTATCTCTGCTATGATTTGAACCTTGGTCTCATGGTTGACTCCACCTTCATTAACGGATTGACCATTAACCACATCCTTGGCTAGTTAGTATGATTTATTTATACACTTATTTGTAAAAAGTTAACAGTCTTTTCAAGGTCTATTTGACGCGTCTCATTGAAACTCAGACTTTAGCTTTCATAATTATCATACAGTTTCTGACCATTAAGCTCCTTGTATTGCTTATCAAAAAGAAAAGAAAAAAGAGTTCATGTGGAAGTGTTTCCCTGTCCTCACGATGATAAAGTTCTTTTTTTCCTTCTTTCATAGAAGACTGAAGATTTAACCACTAAAAATTAGTACAACGACAAAACGATTGTTAGACCTCAATCACAAACAAGTTGGGCTACATATATCCTGAATATCCATTATGTTCTGTTTTGAACTGTTTAATTCCAATACTCAATAATTTGTCTTCTAAGATAAATAAATTAAGGGTTTTCCAACTGTAGAGGTGCTCTACATTTTCGATATATATATATGTGTGTGTGTGTGTGTGTGTACTTGCAGACTTGGAACCTATATGGATCTTTTGATCCATTGTGTTTGTATTCTTCGCAAAATTCGCATGAACTCTGAGAGATTGTAAGTCCTGTAAAACATATAAAAACAAATGTACCAACACTAGTTGAGAACTTACATGTTCCAATTAAGGGTGCGCATTCGGGCAGTTCGGACTAAATATGAAAATTTTGGTTTGAATTTTCGGTTTTCGGATTGAAGAAATGACAATCCAAATCCAATCCAAATAAGCTCGGATTGGATCGGATTTTTTAAGTTCGGTTTCGGATTAATCGGTTTGGATATTTTGAATTTTTGGTTTTGAGCTTATAAGTTGAGATGTTTCTTCTTTTTACGAAAATGAATATCCAAATGAACTACTCATGTTAAATTGCCTGAAAAGTTCCTCATTCTCACCGCAATCATCCAAATAAAATATCCAAGTAATGAATTTATTATCAACGAAATGCGACAGAGACATTAATGAGACATTAATACGGCTGATAAGAAGCAATTATAGTAAAACCATATCCAAATGGAAAATATTATGACAATAACTTAGTAATTAATATTGAATATATGATGGGCAGGGTGTTGAACTTATTACTATTGGCATATGGTTAATGGACCAAATATACAACAACAGCAACAACAACAACCTAGTGGAATCCCACAAGTAATAAATTAAATATAAAGTATAAAAATTTCGGATTTTCGGATATCCAAAATTCCGAAGTACCAAATCCATTATCCAATCCGAAATCCAAAAATTTTAAAAATCAAATCCAAAATCTAATCCATAATTCAAAAATCTAAATAAAAAATCCATTAAATTCGGATTTTGGTTTGGATTTCGGGTTTGCCCAAACTATGCCCACCCCTAGTTCCAATTATACACGGCATACCCAATAACAGAAAGGTGAAATCTCAAACAGACAGAGGTTTCTTCTTTTTAATATCATAAAGGGCAGACTACTCAATATCTTATACTCCCATATCCTAGTGGAATAGAATATTATGACAATAACTTAGTAATTAATATTAAATATATGAGATAATATCTAATGGGTATGGTGTTGAACTTATTACTATTGGCATATGGTTAATGGACTAAATATACAACAACAACAACCTAGTGGAATCCCACAAATAATGAACTAAATATAAAGTATAAAAACTTTGGATTTTCGGATATCCAAAATTCTGAAGTACCAAATCCATTATCCAATCCGAAATTCAAAAATTTTAAAAATCAAATCCAACATCCAATCCATAATCCAAAAATCTAAATAAAAAATCCATTAAATTCGGATTTTGGTTTGGATTTCGGGTTTGCCCAATCTATGCCGACCCCTAGTTCCATTTATACATGGCATACCCAATAACAGAAAGGTGAAATCTCAAACAGACAGATGCTTCTTCTTTTTAAGATCATAAAGGGCAGACTACTGAATATCTTATACTCCCTCTCCAATTTTATGTGACACGCTTTCTCTTTTAATATATCCCAAAAAGAATGACACATTTCTTGTTTTTCGAAACTACATAATCTTAACATCCCCGATTTACCCTTAATGACATGACTAATTGACAATGACACCTTAACCACCTTATTTAAACTGAAAAGACATGAGGAATTCTCACCTGCAACTCATTTAAAGGATGTTGGTACTCTGCATGTATTTGGTTAAGTCTTCTTTAATTTCTTAAATCGTGCCCAGTCAAATATCTTCACATAAATTGGGAAGGAGGGAGTATTAATTTCTTGGGAAGAGGTTAAAAGCCAAATGTTGCTACAACTCAACTCAGTAAATACATTCTTTTACCAGATTTGAGACCCAGATTAGTTAAAGGTAAATCAAAACTGTGCATTTGAAACCATTGAGTTCAAAATTGTAACTACTCCTTACGTCCCAATTTACGTGACATTATTTTATTGGTCAACGAGTTCAAGATGTCAATTGACTTGTATATCATCAAAGAAATAACAGAAGATAAGGTGCTATGTTAGCTTGATAAAATAATATTTCATCAAAGTTTAAGTTAAAATAGTCGAATGAGTTTAGACTCTTGAAACTTGTGAAGGTTTTATAAAGTAGTCTTGTTAATTAAATAATATTAATGATGTGAAACGTTCCAATATCGAATGAATATCGTGCAACTACAATTTTTTATAAGTCATATCAAGTAACTATACCAAAGGGAGTAAGTCAAAGAGACTTTGATGGTTCGGAGTTGAGTGTGTTCAAATTGAATTTTCACCAAAAAAAAATCTGGATTAATAAAGACAACTGGAGCGTTGCTTTATTTTTAAGACGAACTGAAAGTTATATAATAGGCAAGATGCTGTATCCGATAGGATAGAATATGTAAAGTAACATACATATCAAAAGAAGGATTTTACAATAAAATCAAATTGTAATATTAAATAAATAAGGAGATAACTAATACAAACTATGGAAAATTACTGATAAGTCCAAAATGGTGTTGGTAAAACCCAATTTTTGCAATAACTTTAAAGCTGGATGGTAATGCGGTATTTAAATTGGGTAACCAAAACCCAGTAATGAAGGAACCTAAGGGTCAATGGGAAAAGGTAAAAATATTATACAAATAATGTTCATCATGCAACATACAGTAACTCTGGACAGTAACATTTTATACTCATTATCATCATGCAATTCAGCTATGTGAGTTATTCAAATGATTAATGGTATTTTGCCTTGTATTCTGGACAGTAACATTTAATGGTTGTCATGTTCTTTTCAAGAATTTCTAGTTTTGCTAAAATAAGCCCCGTCCTAGGCTTTTTGCTTGATTTCCCTTCAACTTCGTAGGGTTTCAACATGATTCGAAGTATAGTCCTTATTACACCCTGCTTCATCATTCAGACCAAACTAAAAAGCTTAATGAAGTCGTCATCATCTTCAACCAATCGCTTGAGATTTTACTGAATATTTGTTTAGTTTCCCTGTTTTGCAAGCAAACACTGACTATGAAAACAAAAAGTATATCATTCTTTTTTGTATTGATGTCATGCAACAAAGCATCATAAATTTTATTTCTATTGTATTACCTAGTATAGCACCGAGGTTACACCCACTGCTTGCATGTTTATACAAAATTATTTGCATGTGTTTCCATTAAAAGAAACAACAGATAGCTAAATGAATATACTCCCTGTATTCCAGTTTATGTGATACTATTTTTTTATTAGTCCGTTCCGGAATAATGACACATTTCTATATCTGGAAACAATTAACTTTGGACTTCCCATTTTACCCTTAAAGGGAAGTTTTTATTGCCACACAAATCTTTTTTTTGATAAGGTAAATTGTATTAATCAAAAGGGAGAGAACTCCCGTATACACGAAGTATACCAAAAACGTAGAGAATTTACATCAGAACATGATTCTCTACAAAAGACGCCCAATCTTCTATACAAGTAGGGGCTAAATGAGTGCACCAAAAAGCGATCAAAGATAAAAGACTATTCTTAAGATGTGAAAAAGGAGACTCGATCTCCTCAAAAGCTCTCCTATTTCTCTCCCCCCATACTACCCACAGGAGACTCATAAGATTGCCACACAAATCTTATGACATGTTTAAGATCACACATTCCAAAAGTCTTCCGTTCTTTCTTAAACTCCATGTCGAGGCAAACTATGTCATATAAATTGAAATAACGGGAGTATATGATTAGAATATGTAAGAATCAGGAGGATAACGTCAAGCTAAAGGTTAAACTTACATTGTCTGGAGCTACCAGCGGAGACAATCTGATTTGAAATTAATGCAGGAGTCACATTATCCATAAAAACATACTCACCTGGAAGAAAATAAAACATAACAATGAAAAGTATCACATAAAGCATAACAAGATATAAGAACATTTATCTTCAGTAATAACAACAGAGCAAAAACAGAAGATGGTCCCTGGAGCTAATTATTAGTGCATCTGGTTGGAGAGGGATAGAAGTTTTTTTGAATTTTGTCAGTTCACTAGTCATAGCCTAGTTTTAGTTACCAGAACTGACAAATCTTCACTTTTTGTTTCTTTTGTTCATCCATGTAATGCTTTGCATCTGCTTGATGCCCTTAATGAATTTTATTACTTCATCAAAAGAAAAAGAGCAAATACAGACTTTTCTTTTTCTATAAGATCTATGATTTCATCCTACTAGCTATAAGAAATTTTGTGATAATCAGGAATAAAGCATTTCTCTAATGTAGCATATTGCTTTTAGTCCTTTATAAATTTGGATTGTGCCTTATCAGCTGATGAAGAACTTTACATAATGGCACCCACAATGCCCACATTTATCTTTGAAAAAATCAAAGCACCATGTATGAACTGGTACACCGACCAGATTTTGTGGTCAAACATGGTCTACACAGCCAGACACTTCAGACTACCTTTCCGGCTTCAAAAACGTCCCTCCATCAACTGTTGTCCATTGTTTAGAACTTGAGTTGCTTTTTCTTCGCTAAAAAAACAGATGGAAATCTTGTGTCTAGGGCTGTGCATTTGGATCGGATATCCGAAATCCGAACCGATCCACTCAATTTCGAATTTCGGATATTCGGATTGGATATGGATTATGTTTTATAAAATTTCGGATATCCGGATTGGATTCGGATTGGTATAATTTAAATCCGATCCGACCCGAAATCCGAAATTATATGGACCTATATAAATATTATACTAAAATTTTAGGGTTAGGCTTCTTTCTTATTTCATTTTTCAGACAACCCACTTAGGTTAGGGCTGTATCTCTCTCTCACATTTCTGATTTCTCTGCTCCGACTTCCGCCTCTCTTCTCCAAGAGTCCAAATCCTTGTTCGATTTCCAATCTCAGACAGTCACGACTCACGACCAAACGACGCACAGCTCTAATCGACGCACAACCCTCTTTCTGTGTGTGTTTCACGGTAATTATTTCACGGTAGAAATCAAATAGAGGTATTTTTGTGTGTGTTTTTTGTGTCTTTTTTTTGTGTGAGTTAGAGAGAGATTACATGATCTGTGCTAGGCTCACCGTTGACTAACTCAGCTGATACCTAATATCAAAACATAAGTATACTCCAAGAACTTAGTTCTCTTTTGTTTTTGTGCCTTTTTTTTTTTTTAATTTCCATGCTGTCTTTTTCCAATTTTTGGGTGTATGTATCGATTTGGCTTTTATGGGTGTATTTTAATTATTCCACGTCTGATTTTACTTTGAATTTTTTTGTTTTCGTAGATGGAAAATGAGGCAGAGACGCCGAACGAACTTCAAATTGTTGAAAAATGTGGTGAAAGTGGTGCTTCAAATGATTCCACAACCAACTGTGAATCTCAATCTGGTTCGAAGAAAAGAAAAATGGTTAAAGAAAGATCAGTTGTGGTGAAAGTGGTGCTTCAGATTGTGGTTTATTTATTCCAAGAAGAAGCCATTGAACTGTTTTAGGAGAAGAATGGTGTTTTCATCATATTCACTGAATTTGTTTTGTTAATCAGATTGTGTTTTCTCCTAAATTAAGTCCTAAACCAGCAATCTTACTGGTGGAATCATTAAGCAGCATTTGAAACGTCCTTGTAAATTCCTGGTCTTTGGAAATTCCTATGTTAGTTAGCGGCATCTGCTTCAGCAAGATCAGGACTTAATTCATTCTTGTTTTAATTGATAAGCACCAATCTCAGTGGCAAGATACAGAGAGCATTAAGAAAGGGTGAGTATGATTGGCAATAAGCCATAATAATGCAGACAATCCGATCCGACAATCCGAAATATTATCCGATCCAAACTTTAAAATCCGATCCGATCCAATGTTAATTCGAATCGGATTCGGATTGCATTTTGTAGAATCCGAAATCCGAAATTTCAATCCGAAATGTGTTAAATCCGATCTGATCCGATCCGTGCACAGCCCTACTTGTGTCTTCTAAAGGGGGCACCTTCAACCTGTGTTTAACCCCCATATCTCTGCAGCCCAGTTTCTGATTGCTTTCGTTGAGCCAACACACTTTACAAAGCTCCCTACCAAACAAGTGTTCAGAAATTTTCTTCTCCTCTGGATGTGCTCGGTTGAAAGCCTAAAACTTGGTTCCTTCACAGCATCCAATTTCTGGAAGTTACCTTCTAGGTCCAGTACTGACCAAGGTAGAGCATCTTTGAAGCCATTCTGTCTTTACCTAGATTCTAGTTTTTTTTTTTTTTAGGTAACATGTTTCTGTATATTTATTAAGACATCAGCATAAAGATTGTGCTGGAAACCAAAATAGGATGTTACATCAGAGCGCCAAAATAGTAAAAAACCTACATGCTTGTTCTTCTTACAAGGAACCTAGTACGTCCAAACTATCCTCAGGATCATCTATGTATTCAGATTTACACCAAAAACAAAGAATAAGAATACTAACCAACATATCCATCTTGATTCTAGTTTTTCTTAAACAACTTTAGCTTTACTTAGGTCTTGCATGAGATTTGCAACGTCAGTGTCCCTTCCAGAACACTTCCATCTTCTACAGTTTCAAGCTTTTCTTTAAACTTTTTTAGCTTTGCAGGTAATCAAAATCTTGCACCACTTGGACTGAGAAATAGTACCACCATTTATTCACCAACAACCCCCCTATTGTAGCCACATATTCACTTCTTACATCAAACTAGGAGAGTTTTCCTCCCAATTACTAGAGATATTATCCTATTAATGCCAGACGCAACTCTTTTATTTTCTCCACGTTAATTTAATCATACCATTGGTAAACCAATTGGAATTAAATTCTGAGAACTCACGGTTACATGACCATCTCTTCCGCAAATCTAACAGCATAAAAAATCCCATGCGATCTCAAAAATTTGACATATTCTGAAGTGTATTAGATAATCGTTGTGCATTCCTTATGAACTCCAGACAAGACCCACCCAAAAATCTTCCCCAAGCATTTGAGCAGGTAGGACAAGGCAGGACAACTCCATGATGAAAGGATCTCCTCATTTAGGGACATCTCCTTTTGTCCCATAAAATTGAAAAACCCTTAGCTCCCAGTCTTGAGTTCAAAGACAATCGTGACACATGTTCAATTGCCTACCCATCTTGATTTCTTGTAACTGGTAAGCAATACACATACGGCCTCCAATTTTTAATCACTGCCTTCACACCATTTTATGGGGATCATTTAGACCCTGCGTATTCTGCGACATTATTTTGAATTGCGAGATGATAGTGAGTATAAAATGCCTGATGTATCCCCTCTGCCTTCTCCTTCCAACCTTTCCTTCTGTTTTCCAATCAACTTCACAGCATTTAGGTATCTGAACTCGAAGTCCATTTCCCCTTTGGTGCCAAAATTCTTGCTCTTCTAGATGGTGTTTGCACATTGTTTGTTTTATTCCACTTCTGTTCCTTCTTACTTCCAGTTAAATTTTCCAGTCTTCTCCTAAAATCCTTCAAATGAGATTCCAAAAACATTTTCTAAAGCCTTAATCTTTTTATTTTTTTGGCCCAAATAATCTTATTCTATTCCGGTGAGCATGAGTTGTTGTTATTTCTAACAACAGCAAGATGCACATCAGACATTGCAATTGGTTCCACAGATACACGACAGCACCTTCCACCTGTGATCCCTTGCCGTCTGCTAATTATAACTGGAACATCTGACAAGGAAGGTTCCCAAGAAGTATGTTCTACACTCCCTCTCATCTCTTGACCCTGTGAAGACAAATTTTCATTTCCTTCATAGCTCCAGTGACACTCATCCTCAAGTGAAAAGCTGGCCAAGCTTCTTCCTCTAAAATCTCACTGTTCCATGGCCAACCAATCTAGCTTTCATTATGACCTTGAGTCTATCTTTCTCCTGATCCAGCACAAGGCTTATGTTACTCTGTATTATTGAATCAACCCAGATTGCGGGAATGTTTCTTAAATCAACAGAAATACTATGCAAATTTTGATTTGGTTGACACAACACTAGAGAGATGGAAATTTTATCTCCCTAACTAACCATTTTATTAATACCCATTCCAATAACTATATACTCCCTCTATCACAATAATGTGGTATACCTTCCTTTTTAGTTGTCTCAAAAAGAATGTCAAATTTCTATATTTAGAAATAATTATAACTTTGAAATTCCTACGTTACCCTTAATGAGATGATTTTTGACCACACAAATGTCAATGGTTTATGTTAGGACACAAGTTTCAAACGTCTTCCTTTCTTTCTTAAACTCCGTGCCCAGTCAAATGGTGCCATATAAGTTGAGACGGAGGGAAAGTGTCATATATCAAGCAAGTATCAACCGTTCATCCTTATCAGAAAAAGTATCAACAGTTCATATTCAAATTAAATAATACGATTCGCACCAAACTGACTTTTTGATATTAATTACTCATTACATCCCATTTTATATGATGTTGTTTGATTGAGCACGGAGTTTAAGAAAGAAAGATTTTTGAAACTTGTGGTCTAAAACAAGTTGTAGATATTACATCAAAGGTAAAATGGGAAGTTTAATGTTAAATTGCTTTTAAATATAAAAATATATTGTTAGTATGTATAGTGTAGTCTTGTCCCACATTGGAAGAGGAGTAATATCTCCTTGTAGTGTATAGCTATAAATAGGGACCTCTTGTATTGTATTTTATCATCCAATATCAATAACATATTTTCTCCCGTGTTTTCTCACATTGTATCAGAGCATTAGTGAGAAACCTGTCGCTGTGCATCATTCCAGCGACTTTCGGGAAGAAAGACCTCTTCGCCGTGCAATTTTCCGGCGACTTAGAAAGTTGTCCGTAAGCAAATCACTTTGTGTTGGTGTTGTACAAAAACCAACACCACCACAAAACTTCTCACGCTCCGGCGACCAAACCCCAGTCAACCCCACCAGAAAACACACGTCCACGCGCCCTCACGCGCCTGGAAAAGAAAAAAAATTCCGGCGAGATCTGACCCACGCGCCGGCGCATGAGCACTGTTCCGGCCAAATTTTAAAAAAGTTCCAGTTGAACAGTAGGATCGCCTGGTAATTCCGATCCTACCCTCACTGGTTTTGTTTCATTCCGACCACTTTGAGTTTTACCGTCAACTACAGTAGATTCCGGCGAGCTACAGTGTTTCCGGCGCAGAACAATGTTCTGTTTTCCTGCTGTAAACAGTGTTTTTCAAGCTACTTCTTCAGTTTTCTCACATGAGTTACTTATTTCCACTATTTCAAGTTAACCCTACTACTACAAATTGTAGCGACATGGGAACCGATGCTTTGAATAGTCGGATGGTTTCTTTAGCAGAGTATATTGAGTTCCTTCAGTATAAAGCATGTAAGCAGACATCTTCTGAGATAGCTTCTGTTGTTCAAACAGGTAATAGCGTGACTTGTTTCTCCCAATCTTCATCCTCTGAGTCTTGGGTCATTGATTCAGGTGCATCAGATCATATTTCTGGTAACAAATCTCTTTTCACTACTATTTCGTATTCTCAATCTCTTCCAAAAGTCACAATGGCCAATGGGTCTCAAACCATGGCAACTGCAATAGGTCAAGCAAGCCCACTTCCTTCCTTACCTTTAGATTCACTCGTTTATATTCCCAATAGTTCTCTTAATCTCATAGTTGTTAGTCGCTTAGCCAAATCACTTAAATGCGCTTTTTATTTCTTGATGACCATGTTTTTATACAGGAACGCAGTACGGGGCGGATCATTAGTACCGGTGAATCAAACGGACTTTATTACTTTATCCTTGCTAAATCACATGGACTCACATCTTGTCTTCCTTCTACAACTTCTTCTGTTACTGATTCACCAGATTTATTACATAAACGGTTGGGACATCCCAGTTTGTAAAAATTTCAGAAAATAGTATCTGGTTTATCTCACTTTTCAGCTCTAGAGTGTGAGTCATGTCAGCTCGGTAAGCATACTCGCTCCCATTTCCCTCGGCGTCTTCATAATCGAGCAAAGTCATCTTTTACTTTAGTCCATTCAGATATTTGGGGTCCTAGTCGGGTCAGTTCTACCTTGGGATTCCGCTACTTTGTCAGTTTCATTGATGATTATTCCAGGTGCACTTGGATATTTTTGATAAAAAATCGATCTGAGTTGTTTTCTATTTTCTAGACCTTCCATGCTGAAATTCAAAATCAATTTGGGATTTCTATTCGCGCATTTCGTAGTGATAATGCCAGGGAGTATTTGTCTTCTCCATTTCAGCAGTTTATGAAATCTCATGGGATTATTCATCAAACATCTTGTCCGTACACATCTCAACAAAATGGGATAGCTGAAAGAAAGAATAGACATCTTATTGAAACTGCTCGTACCCTACTCATACAATCTCATGCTCCGTTGCGTTTTTGGGGG